GTTTTTTTGTTTTGTATTTTACAAAAACTCCTATTTCAAAACAACAGCAACACAAAATTGAACATTCTTCCCTGTGTGTGGATAACGCAAGCCATTGTAATTATATCTTGTTACTGTAATTTCTGGTTTTCATGGGGCAATATGGAACTGACATTTCACCATCTTGATCAGGTGCTAGATACATTATTTAGCTAAACCCAATTCTTCTCTCAGAGAAATCAATGAGTTTTACCACTGATGTCAAGGAGAGTATGATTGCGCTCCTGTATTTCTTCAGCATGTCATTATCTCTTAATATTAGGCAAATGGCTCCTTTCTCCATTCCATGAAGCTAAATTCATTCAAGCCCCTTAATTCATCAACAAGAGAAACAAAATGGAAAAGTTCAGAGGTTTATGAGTAAATTCACTGTACAACTCAAGTATATTTATTTTAACTGAATTATTATACTGAATAGACACAATCATCTAACCATGGATGTGCCTGCTTATGTTGTATCCCCCCGCCCACATAACCTGATTATTTCCCTGCAGTGTGTGTGTATGAGTGTGAGTGTGAGTGTGTGTGTGTGTGTGTGTGTTTATTCCTTCATCGCTTCCCTTATAGTCCCTTCTGGCACTTCTTTTGGAATGAGCTTTTCAAGAAGGAGCGGTAGCCAGGGTCATCCACATACTCATTCTTAAAGCGGGAACTCAATACTCTCTGCCTCTTCTTTTCTCCCTGGATAATATCTGCTCCATAAAACGTGTCTTCAAACCTCATGTCGGAGGCTGTAGACTAAAAACAGACATTAATTACACCATCAGTTGCACAAAGGACATTCCACTCCAACACTCTCCAAGTTGCACAAGAGCAGTGATACCTTTGGTTTCAGGAGACAATAAGTTATTTCACTGATTAAACTGATATGTAGCCATCAGTATCTTACAGCATGCAGTTTCATGGCAGTGGTTCAAGGAAAATTCATTCATGTTAAATACATGTTTAACCTTTTTATTTGCTTGATGCACACACCGTGGTGTTTTGTTCCATAGATCCGTGAGGTCTCCTAAATTCATTTGACTGACCCTAGCTGCTTTGTGGTTTGACTGCAGAAAAAGATCACAGGAATTAAACGTGGGGAATCCAGTCTGTCCTGATGGTGGAATAGCTTTATTTCCAACCATAACATATATTATCTAGTGTTTTATCCGGGCTAGTTTTAAAAATGCAAAGGACCTTCTCATGTAGGCTATTAAAAGAGATGCCTGTACAACTGCATGAATTGTGTGGAGTGCGAAACGTAAGTACAGCCAGTGCTAGAGAATGTACAAGTAATAGACAGCAAATGAACCAAAAATAAAAGGAGGGCAAATTACCAGTGCCTAGGAAAAAAACCCAAAAGTGACAATAAGAAGAAATGTAGGACTCTCTCCCATTATCAAAGCCAGTACCCAAAATCCCCTGGCCTATTACTGGTGCGGTTTAACAAGACATTTCACATACTTACAAGGAAGTGTGGAAGCCAAAATTATGAACTGTGGGGCTGATCCTCCAAGGAACTTTATGTCCTTGGTTTGTACAGACTACAGCTCACACAAAGTGCTCATCATCATCACGTGGATGGGCTGCCTATTGGGGAATCAGAGCGACTAAGAGGGAAACCCTATTATATGGAAGCACAGATATAAGTTTTCCAGCGGGGGAAACTGTACTGCTCATCAATAGCAACTGCAGTGTTCCTGAGGTTTCTTTTATTTTGTTATCTAAATTTGCTGCATCTAAATTATACTTATCTCCTATAAAACGTTAATGGTGTCATGTGCAGCAATGAAATGCTGATCTATAAAACAAATATGTTTATTTAAAAAAATAGCAAAACCCCAGCTATGTCTGTATTGTTATTCTTTGTCAAATGCAACAATAAAACAGATTTACAGTACATCTAGTTAATTATAAACTGTTATGAACACTCTATAAAACAATAAATGGTAATGGGACCTTTTCCGAGTATAATGAAAAACAACCCACCACTCGCCCGCAGCCAGGTGGTCTATTTATTGTTTCTTTTCCAAGAACCTTCCATGTTAACCCTTAGGACACTGAAGGATGAGCACACTCATTCTGAGTAAATTGGCACTGAAGTGATGAGGTGAAGAATACCTAAATGACTTATTCTCCCCCTCCTCCTTCCCCCCTCATTCTTATCTCCTTCTGCACTGCTGAGCACAATAGGGGAACTTCCTTACAGGCAAACACTCTTTGGTTTCTCTGCCTCTCCAAGCTGCCAGTCCCAGTTCTTGCTTTTCATGTAGCGAGCTCCATGCCAATTGTTTCCCTGACTGCACCAGCTTGGGATATGTGGCTCAGAACTGGTGGTATGGAGAAGCAGCTAGTACATGCATAAGCTGAGGAAGCAGTGGAAAGCACTGGGATCTGCTTCAAATAATGCCAACTCAATTCTACCTTCAATTGCTAGGAACCCTGCTTCATCCTGTGACCTTAGGCTAAGTGCAGACATTCAGGAGAGTTAGAGGAAGGTTAGATTGGAGTCAAAATGGCCACCCAATCCAAGGTACATCAGAATGGGGTGGGGGTGGGGAGGGGCTATCAGGAGGGGCAAGCAGGCTTGGAGGGGAACAGGTGTCTGCATGGGGTTGGGGGGCAGGTGGTATCTGCAGGAGTGATCAGCAGGATGGGGGACACAGGCAGTGTCTGTGGGAGAATGGTGGGGGGCAGGCAGGATCCATAACGGGGTAGAGGGAGGTAGGCAGGATCCACAATGGAGGCAACAGGGCATTCTCTGTCCTGGGGCTGTGCAGGTACCTACACTGAAGTTCCATGCCCCAATCTACCCTAGATTAAGTAAATCTAATACTACACTGATCCAGATCCACCTTAGATCAGGTTCCACCATTTTTAGACCAGTCTGTGTGTGTGGAACTTCTGTACTGTTATGGGCTGAGATTGATATCAGATCACTGAGCTGGGTTTGAGCATAAGGTCCACATCCAGGGTGAACTAAGTTAGACTAAGTGACCGTTTTGAACCCAATCTAGCCTCCCCCTAACCCCCGCAAATGTCTGCACTTAGCTTAAGTGATGCCCCTACACAGAACTAAACAGACATGCACCCACAGATGAACACTAGAATCAGGTAGTTTCCAAGTTGTTACCATACATGCCATAGTATATTCAAAAACACTACTTCACAGCAATAAGAAACCCACTGTATGTTGCTTTCCTGTTCACAGTCACAACAAGATTTTTTCTAGTTCTTACACTTCAGCTTTGGAAGTTAAAAAATACAAGCGAATTGTTAATAAACAGAACAGCAGGGGTTACATGCCAATAACATGGGCAGGGATCCTAGTCTGCCTATAAAATATGCATGTGGACCTTGGCTTTGGTGGCTAGGTCACTAAGCATCATCCTATTCTATCCTATGCAGCAGCTCAAATTGTGCCAAGATGCATTGATTCCTTATGCTTCTCCACTTTGGGCTGAAAAGACCTCAGTGCAACAAGATTTGACCTAGGCTCAGGCATGATCCAGGTTACTCACCAACCCCTCTTAGACTCCTGCGTGACTGGGGTTTCAGGAATATTATGC